TTTCTCCTTAAACATGAACTACCTTTAATTAAAGAAGGATCAATTTACACAACTGACAGTGACAGAAGTACAGCTGTACTGACTTTAGGTACACTGCTGGATTGGTTACCACGGGAAAGGACGATTGTGCTGTAGTCAAATACGCAAATAGGCTCTGCCATTTTGTCTGCACCAAGTTCTGAACATTAACAGAGAATAAAATTTAATTTAGAGATCTTGACGGATAAAGCTTGCATGGCCTATTGACAACTGCTTTATTTTTTGCCGACACTACTGGCGCTAACAAAATAGAAGTTGGGATTCTCCAAGAAACAAATAGTTCTTGCACAGCAATTCCAAATAAGTGTTTTCTCGAAAACACCACACACTTTTAGTTAGGTACCCAGTTCCCAAACTCCACATGTTTAACAGGAACTTCTCTTGTCCTGCTCAGCTACTTACAAAAACTGCTGAGCTGAAGACTAAGCGGATCTAAGCACACACTCCCAGGCATCCGTGCAAGTCAAAGAGAAAAGCAGAAGACAGCATGTGTTCATATATTCTGAACTAAAACTACTGCAGAAGACCATTAGAGAAATCACTGGTTGTATACCAAAATCAGCGAGGACTAATTCAGCCCTTTAAATAGCCACAAAAAAAAACCCCAATGATGTATCTGAACACAACAGTTTGGAAATAAACTTGTACCTGACAATGCTACACTTGGTTGCCCTTACCATGATTTCATCATGGATAAAACAATTTTCTCACACTCTGTAACTCTAGTCACTAAGGAAAAGCTCAGCCTGAGTCCTGAAAAGACTCAAAACTGTGCCATCAAGACAGACAGCAAACAGATATGCTCATAATCCATCAAGGAACAAACATTCACCACCACGCATTTTTGAACACACAACATTGGTAGGATGTACGAGGGCAGCTAAGGCAGCCAACTTGACCCATATCCATACAATAGAATTTAGAAGGTGTTTGCAAAAATAAAAAAATCCATAACCTGATTAATATACATGCTAACACTCAGATAGATTCTGGTACATTCTGGATCAAGGCTACTGAAACAAGTGTAAAATTCTCCTTTTTCACCAGAAAAATCTGGATCCTCATATACCTCAGTCCACAAAGATGTGAAAAAAATCTCACACGCTGATGCCAGAAGTTAGCAGAACCTCCTCAAATACTTTCGTCTAAATAGTACGGTATGAGAAAGAGAAATGTAGTGTCCTGAAACATCCAAATCTTGTCAGAAACTAGCAACGGCAACACAGTAAATACTCACGAGGACCTGACAGCCTGCTTTTTAAAATACCGACTCTAAGAACGTACCAGCTGAACAAAAGTTGTAGTTATTCCAATTCCACTGGAAAACATCATCTCACTTGAAATACCAGATTCAGCACCCAGAGCCTATGAGAACCTAGAATTTTTTGGCCTCGAGTGCCAAACTGTACTGTCAAAATAAACACCACATGTTGCTGCTCCCATTAAACAGAGAAATTCAGCCTCCAACACATCATGGTGCAAAAGCAACTCAAGAACAAAAATCTGGGAGCGAGACCTCGCCAAACCCATCAAATCCTTGTTCACAAACCTCTATGTTTGATTGCACAGAAAAAAAGCACACTTAGATTGACTAGGGAAACCGCACCTTCTTAAATCCTGGCCAAAGAGACCTTGGAAAGGTTAAGCCTTGTTTTCTTACTTAGATTTTCAAAGTTTGTTTTTTGTTGTGGGTTTGTTTGGTTTTTTTTTTCAAACTAGACAGTTTTCCCGTACTTTTTTTTTTGTCCCATGGTTCAATTGATTCTGCAAGGTAGAGGGGAGCAGCTGGAGAGAACAACTGAAGACAATGTCACAGTCTAAGGAAAAGGTAACGAGGTATCTGGACCACGTGTGGTAGCCTTACCTCCTGGATTCGCCTGCGGGCCCGCTGCAGCACCTCCTCGTACCCCTTCTGTCGCAGCTCACTCAGGCTCTCGTAATACTCTTCGGGGTCGTCAGTCTCAGTGAAGAGTACCTGCGAAAGGATCTTCCACCCGCAGGTATCCAAGCTGTGGACCAAGTAAACTTGCAGTTTGGAGCAGAGAGCGTCCATCTCCTGCTCGGACAGCTCCGGGGCTCCGAACAGCACCGTCCACATGCCCGAGGGCTCCTCAGGGAAGGCAGGCAGGTAGGGCTCCAGCTCCGAGTTCACCGAGCATAACTGCTGGTGCACAGCCCGCAGGTCTTGGAAGGAGAAGAGGCCAGCCCAGCTGCACTCCTCCCCCGCGGGCTCGGCGTCGGGA